TTATATTTTGTATTCTTTTCCTATAGTAGTTTTACTTACCTCTGTTATTTCTTTATTGTACCTTCTATACCTATGTCTGTCATTGTGTTGTTGCAACAACCGAATTTCCCCATTGGAGCTTGTAATTAAAAGCTTGTTGAAGAAAATTGGTACATATAAAAAGACTTAAGGGTGCCAGTCTTCTCTCTTCTTACTCTTTCTTTCTGCCACCCATCCTTCAGAGATGGGAGTTCAAACACCCCCAGCCCTTCCTGAGGACAAGAGAGTTCCTGTGGCAGGAAGGACACACAGCATTTGCCACCAAAGAGGAGGCAGTTGAGGAGGTAACAGCCCTGGCAATGCTACCACAAGCCCCCTTCTATTGTATTGGCTGAGATGCATAGTATTGCAGTACTTACACAGTACCAAGAAAAGTGATATCGTCCAGACTATGCTGTATTGCAAAAAAGCATTAAATCTCTGTTTGCTTTACACTTGATATGTTTGCAGGTGCTTCAGATCCTGGATCTGTACGCCAGGGTGTATGAAGAGCTAATGGCGATCCCTGTTGTGAAGGGGAGGAAGACAGAGAAGGAGAAGTTTGCAGGAGGAGATTACACCACTACTGTGGAGGCATTCATCTCTGCCAGCGGCCGAGCCATTCAGGTACTGTAGTATACTGGAATACTTCACTTCCTCTCGTCCATTCACACTGAGGTCAGCAGAATATTACATGTGATAGATAAATGCTCACTGATGATGACCTACAGAGAAACAAACAAAACAATTATTATTATTTTTTTCTTTACTTGCTTGATTTGATTCAATGTTTTACAACATAGTAAACATTGCATTGTTTAAAAAAATGAAGTCAGCACACCTTTGGCATTGCTTTTTGCTTCCTCAGGGCGCTACATCCCACCATCTTGGTCAGAACTTCTCCAAGATGTTTGAGATCACGTTTGAGGATCCGAAGAGGCCGGGTGAGAAACAGCTGGCTTTCCAGAACTCCTGGGGCATCACAACCAGGACAATCGGTGTCCTCACCATGGTCCACGGAGACAACATGGGACTCGTGCTGCCACCCAGGGTGGCCTGCCTGCAGGTAGACACACACTCATTCTCTTAGAGACACTGTATTTGATGGACAATGTTCATCTTTTTTTAAACTTATAAATGTGAAATAACAAACCCATTAAGCACAAGATGCATGCTTTTTTTCTATTCTTATATTTTGGATGAATTAAAAGTAAAGAACAAACAGCCAGCCTAGGATAGACACTGATACATGCAGGAAAAACAGCAATCGTTAAATAGTAAAAATGTCTCTTTGCTTTTCCAGGTTGTCATCATCCCATGTGGCATCACGGTCTCCCTGCCAGAGCAGGAGAAGGAGGCAGTGATGACCCAGTGCTCTAAATACCAAAGCATGCTGCTGAATGCTGGCGTCCGGGTGAAGACTGACCCCCGAGACAACTACTCCCCAGGGTGGAAGTTCAACCACTGGGAACTCAAGGTTAGCAGTAATATGATAGTAATAGTATGATAATAGTAGTAGTGGTGGCAGTAAATAAACGAAGTATACATCTGTGTATTTCTGTGTCTCTTGTCCAGGGAGTTCCTATCCGTCTTGAAGTGGGTCCTAAAGATATGCAGCAGCGTCAGTGTGTCGCAGTGAGGAGAGACTCAGGCGCAAAGGTGACAGTTCCAGAAGCTGAGGTGGAGAAGAGGCTGGTCGCCATGTTGGAGGACATTCAGACCAGCTTGTTTAAGAAGTAAGATGCAGCACTGCACACTAGGGTCCGACATGCACTATACTTGGCTTATTATAACTTGACATATCAGCAATCAAGTACAATTTACTACTAAAAAGGCATGTGGTGTTGTTGTAGTATGGAAAAAGTGCAATTGAAACCAGTTTCAATTGTCTAAATCCCACTGAAAGAATTTTACTGTGGGCTTTTGTGTCATGGGATAGAAAAATATATATACAGATAAGAGAACAGTTCTCAACTCTAAAACCCAGTGTGCACAACCGGCATAGCATTTAGCATATTTTTCCCATATTTTTGGAGTCAAAGCTGTGTTCACCAATTTCCACTGCCCCCTCTGTTATTGCAGATTTAGAATCAACCCGTTTCCCATCCAGCTGGGGGCAACATTGTGTTAAAAATAATGTTCACAGATAACACAGAATGACAGCAAAATGAATAGATGCTTACATGGTGTCCATAAACATACAAGAAAATTGATTAAAGTTTATTACGTGTGTTTGTCAGAGCTTCAGATGACCTGAGGAGTAACATGGTGGCTGCAGACACAATGGAACAGTTCCAGAAAGAGTTGGACCAGGGCAAGGTGAGTAACACAACCCACACTCAGCACAAACCATTTTATTGTCTGTCCTCACCTGAGCAAATGATTGATAACACATTTTTCTTGCACGATAGATTGTCCAGATCCCGTTCTGTGGAGGAATTGAGTGCGAGGATTGGATCAAGAAAACCACTGCCAAGTACGTCCGACATGTCACTGTCTGGCATGAGAGTTGGTGCTTTGCCCAACCTTTTGAGGGAGCAAAATACAACATAGTCGCTCACATTATTGTCTATACAGATAGGAAACATATTTGTATCCATCAAAAATAAATATGCAGTGTCACATTATGCAGGTGCTGGGGGGGGGGAATCACATTTTGCTGTTTTATTGAGTCATTTCAGATGCATATATTCAAGATTGTTTCAGTCAGTGTTATTTGTAAAGTACTATCATAATTTTTCCCATTCAGATCAGGCATCATATTAAAATACAAAATTT